ATGGACAGAGGACTTCTAATGGGCGAAACAGTTCTCAGAACTTTCTGAGATGCTCTTTCAAGTTATAATCGTCAAATTTGACTCAAATGAAATTTTCCAGTCGTTTCTGAGATCGACTGATTAATTTTTCATCCACAATTTGCACTTTTCCTTCTGTGGAAAAAGAAGAAAGTGGTGAAGAGGCTGTAGATCAAGCAAAGGTTCAAAACTCAGCCATTTCACTTAGTGGTTGCGTAACCTTACTTATGGCTTCCCTAGTAGCTCACTGGTAAAGAATAGGCCTGCTAATGCAAAAGACACAGAAAAAGCAAGTTCAATCCAGGGCTGAACTCTCCAGGTTGAACTGGAAGATCCCCTGGAGAAGGGGTTGGGAAGATCCCCTGGAGAAGGCAATGGCAACCCCCTCCAGTATTCTTGCCTGGGAAATCTCATGGACAGAGGAGCCTGGTGGTCTACAGTCCATGGGGCTTCAAGAGTCAAACACAACTTAGCAACTAAACAACAACAAATCTTATTTGGCCACACTAATTTACTCATCTGCAAAATGAGATTGATAATCATAAAACCTACTTTGATGAATCGGTATGAGAATTATCTAAGTACATAGTAAGTATGCAAAATTTTTATATATTATTATTAAGAAAGATCAAAAAACACGTGTTTTCTAGCCTCAGTTCTGTGGTTTACCAGTTTCCAAGCATGAATCCCGTTAACCCATGGCCAGCCACCTAGCCTATTTGTAGAAAGTCAGGAGAGGTGAAGTCCTCATCAATTTATCAGTGTCCTTTTCCCATTTCTGTGACTTGCCTTAAGAAGCCACCACCATTTTCCTCCACACATCTAAGCCACCTACAACAGACTCCCACATCACACTTCCGTTTCTTCTTCCCTTCTCCACCTCTGCTTCACACACACCTTTAAGACCGTGAATTTCCAGCCAGATAGGAGCTTTGTGCATGCACCACAACTTTGCTTTCCCTTTCCTCACCTCTTCCAACTCACTTCTTCCAGCTGGGTGCAGCCTTCCAATGCTGAATTCCAAGAAAAGTCCCCACCCATCCATGCACAAGCTGAGCTAGGACTCCTAAATACTGCCCTGGATCAAAGTCTCAGCTCCATTCAGCGGTAGGAGTAAAGGTCGCTCAGTCAAGTCCGACTCTTTACGATCCCATGGACTGTAGCCTGCCAGGCTTCTCTGTCCACGGAATTCTTCAGGCAAGAATAACTGGAGTGGTGTGCCATTCCCTTCTCCAGGGGATTGTCCTGACCCAAGGACTGAACCCGGGTCTCCTGCATTACAGGCAGATTCTTTACCTGCTGAGCCACCAGGAAGCCCACCAGCTCCACTCAACCAGTTACCAAATGTGTTACTCATCTTCCTGTGGTTACTATTCCAATTACCTAATCCCACAGATGCTTCCAGAGCCCTTACCTGGCCTTATTTTTATGTGAATCTCTAGAGAACCCTTTAATGGCCCCTACAACTCACAAGATAGATTTATATCTGCTTACCAAAAAATGAAAAGTCCTCCCATTTCTCCATTTCCCACCACTCCGTTCCTGCTGGCCATTCAAACTTAGGCCTTCTTCCCTACATCTGTTGGCATACGCCTAACAGGTTCATCTCTGTCTTTTTTCCACTTCAGCAACTCCTATTTGGCCCTAAAGGCTCTCTTTAGGCACCACTCCTTCTGGTAGCTTCCCTGAGGTTGAACCACTTCAGTGCAACCGAAACATACCCCTAGAACAGCACCAGACACACACACACACACACACACACACACACACACACACGTGCTCCCCCAGAACAGGGACCATGTGCTCCTAATCTTTGTATTCCTAGGGTCAGCCAGTTCCTGCTTCAGAGCAGGTAGGCTTCAGAACCCATGTGCCTCATCCATTGCTCCTCTCCTTTTGGTGTAAAAATAGCAATGTGCTCCATCCTCTCTTTTTATTATGTTACCTGGCATCTTCTATCCCCCTGCCCATTTTCTATTTAATGCATTATATCTCTGGGCTAACAGAGCCTCCAAGTCATTGTGAGTTACACTCTGCCCTTGGTCAAAACCCCCAAAATAGTTCTGAAATTAAATTCAGTCTGACTCTTCCTATTCCCAATTAACCCGTGCTAGTTCCACCACAGGGTAGTCACATGTTAACACCCAGAGTCAAAGTTCTGGGCTGTTATTTTGAGTTCATTTCTAATTAACTGGATGACCTTAGGCAAGAGATAAAATTGAGATGATAGGGTCACCAGGCCCAATTCTCAGGGGATTTTTGAGATTCAAATGGAATATTTGATGGGAAACTTTTATAAAGTGCAAAGCACTGTACATTCATAAAGGGTATGATTAACAAATTTTATCAGCTCTAAGCTATCAATGGTAAGATACACCGTTATCAACTTAGGACGAAGATCTGCTCAACTATGACACATCTGTGATTATAAGACAACCCAATGTCACTGATATAAAATGTGAAAAAGTGTACTTTTTCTGATGAAATACAAGTTATCTGTCTCAATAAAATAAAGGATCTGCCATAAAATTTTCACATTTGCCAATGGCATATAGTAAGTAGTAGTATGTATGGAGTAAATGAGCACTCACTCACTGATAATTCTTAGGCCAGATTATTGCCTCTCTCACTGGAATGGGCAGCAGGGGATTACCCAGTGCCAATTCCTCCCCTCTCGCTCCTGTCCCAGCCTGCTCAAAACCCTCAAATGATGACTTCAAGTCATATCCATGCCTGGCATTTTTAAGGACCTTCATAATGAAGCCTCCTCTCCCATCAACCACTGTCTGGAACTGCCTGTTCACTGGAATATGTCCCTCCAAGAAGGGTCCTACTGTGTCGGTCCCGATCATAGTAACCAGCTCGATAGCTGTTTCTCCTCCTGCCAATCCTCAAAGCCAGGTCCAGGCCCACCCACTGTGTAGGTGGAGCATGACCCTGGGGGGCTGCCTGACCCAAGGGCTCCAGGTTTGCACCCTCACTATTTAGACAGCTAACCCCAACTACTTATTTTTTACCTAGAATCTATACTCTAGGTTTTAAAGCCTGGGTGCTGAGGTTGGAAGACTGCCTTGCAACCTTTTGACGGACCCTGGTACAGACAAAGACCCTGAAGGAAGAAGGCTGGTCATGGGATACAAAGAACCCTACTGAGAGTTCTGGCCTTCCACCAGCTACCAAAATTTACTGTAGACTTTAGAACTGGCACCCACCTTCTCTGGGCCTTTATTTATGTTTCCCTATCTGTAACAGCAAGGAGGGTGAGGAAGGAGGGGAGGGGAGCTGGAGGGAAGAGGGTTTTAGCTGCTTTTTCTCTTTCCACTTAAAGGCTCTCTTAAAATGCTCTTGTTCAAATGCTCAGAGGTAGGCCATTAAGTCACTAACACTTTAGTGAGAATGAGGTTTATTTGGAAGCAAGCAATTTAGAAAGGGGGGTAGGAGACAGAAAGATAGAGGGGATTGGATACAAAGTTAAATGAGTCTGGTACTAGAAAAGAAGCTCAAAGGCTAAAGTAAATTTTTGCATTTTGTGTTCAGGGTGAGCAGGCAGTGGATCACTGAGAAGGGAAGGGAAGCCAGAAACATCCTTCAGCTCCCCCAGCACCCCAAAGTCCCAAAGACACCCCTCTGTCCAAGTGCACTCAACCACAGTTCCACTGATTACCCCATCTTAGGTACCCACGCTGCCCCACCCCATGCGCCCAGCACAGTAAGTTACCGCTTCATCTCCAATGTCCACACTTGAGTCTTCCCTGCCTCTGCAGGTCCCAACGACACATGCCCTCGTTCCTTGTCCCCTAGTCTCTGACTTCAGAAAACCGCCCCCATCCTTCAAAAGCCTCCGATCCTCCGTGAAGGACCAGGAGATCAAACTCCAGTCTCCGAGCCCCGCCTGACACCCCTCTGTCCAAGTGCACTCAACCACAGTTCCACTGATTACCCCATCTTAGGTACCCACGCTGCCCCACCCCATGCCCCCAGCACAGTAAGTTACCGCTTCATCTCCAGTGTCCACACTTGAGTCTTCCCTGCCTCTGCAGGTCCCAACGACACATGCCCCCGTTCCTTGTCCCATAGTCTCTGACTTCAGAAAACCGCCCCCATCCTTCAAAAGCCTCCGATCCTCCGTGAAGGACCAGGAGATCAAACTCCAGTCTCCGAGCCCCGCCCCACGCCCTTACCCAGGACTTAGCACCTTCTGCCTGGGGTCAGGTTTGGGTCTTCGGTGGACTGAACGCTTCCTGAGGGCAGAGTCTGGGCCCCAAACGCCTCTGGACCCAATAACCCAGCACAGGGGGGCACACAGTGAGTGCTGGAGAACTGCTTGGAGGAAAGGAACCAGGAGTCGGGAGCCATTGATTTTAGTTACGGCTCTGCCTCTAGTGAGCGACTTTGGGGAGACTCGGCTCTCTAGGCCTCAGTTACCCCAGCTGGGAAATGGGGGAACTTGATGCCTGGGTTCCTAGGCCCCTTCCCCAGTGACAACTGTGATTCCGCGAAAGCGCAGAGCTGCTGGGTGTGGCCCCGCCCCCTGGGAGTCCTGAAAAGCCCGGGCAGGGGGCGCGCAGGGAAGGCCTCCAAGCCCGCCCAGCCCCCGGTCGAGGCTTCCCCAAAATCTCGGGGTCCCCCTCCCCCACGCGTGCACCCCGTGATCGCGCCGCGGCCGGCACTTCCGCACCGCGGGCCCTGCGGCCCGGGCCGGGAGCGCGCTCGGTGCCCTGCGCCCGGCTGTCCTGCCACCCCGGAGGCGCTCGCGCCGGGGAGGGCTGGGGGTTCCCGAGGCGCCCGCGGGCGGAGGGTGAGGGGAAGGAAGGAGGATTTGCAACAATACCTCGGGGAGGAGGCGGCCGGGGCAGCGGCGGCGGCGGCGGCGGCTGGAGGCGGAGGCAGCGGCGAAGGAGGAGGTGCCCGGGCACTCCCCCTCCCATTGTCCCCAGCCCCGGCCAGGCCCGGCCCCGCGCCCCACACCGCGCCCCGCGCCCCGGACCGCGCAGCCAGCCCTTACCTTGCAGCGGCCGGCTGTCCCCCGCTCGCTAAAGCTACTTATCCCGGGAAAGCTCGCGCGGGGCCCGGGAGCGAACCCACAGACAAAAAGTGAAACTTCGGCAAGGCTGGAGCGGCTGCTGGTTGGTGCCTTTCCCCCTCCTTCCTCCCGCCGTCCCCACCCCCTCCCCTCGGTCTCCCGTGCGGTGCCCTGAGAGCTGGAGGCTGACGTCAGGGGCCTGAATTCCTGACTTTGCCTGCACGCATTTGTCCATGTAAGGTATGGGAAGGCGGGTGCCCGCGGGGCCGCGGCGCTCGCCGCCGGGGGAGGGGGCGCCCACCTCGGGGGCCGTGGCCCGGCCCCCAAGGTGGGTGCACCGAGGGCGGTGGATTTCCTGGGAGGAAGAGAAGGCGACGCCGGGAATGCGGGGAGCTTGCCGGGGAGGAAGGGAAAGAGGGAGGTGTGGAGCCTTTGCCTGCCCTGGAGGAAGAGGAAGGAGACGTGGAAGGAGGAAGCTGCCGGGGCGAGGGGGCTACTGAAAAAAAAATGAGGGAACCTGCGTCCACTGTTAGGGCGCCAGACTAGGGGGTTGAGTCTGGGTAGACGAGCTCTGCCGTGGAATCCCCCTGCAAGATCTTGCTCGTGAGCCCCGCCCCGGATTCCCAGCAAGGTTCAAACGTCCTGGATGTCGGAACTGGCCCCGACCAACTTCCAGCCCGTCCACTTCACACGGGAAATCTGAAGCTCTCGGAAGAGAAACGACTCGTACAAGGTCATGCCCGCCACAGATCCCGGCGCGGGAGCCGGATGCTCAGTCTCCCAGCTATGTTCCTGTCTGCAGGCAGGGGCCCGACTCCCTCCTTCCTGCGGACCAGTCAGCGGGGCTGGACGTCTGACGGCAACGCGGACCACCCTGGGAAGAGATTCGGCGCTTCCCCGGGGCCCCTACGCGGTCCGTTCCTGGAAGGTTCTGATTGCCAGTGAACCCTGCATAGCCATGCTGATCAGTTACTTCAAGGCAACTCCCTCCATCCAGTGCTCAAATAAACGAACCCCTGGAATTTACTTCACAGCCCTATCCAGAACCCCAGACCTTGTGCTTATAGCTTCAAAAAATAAATAAATCTACGAACTGGGTGAATTAGTTGAATAAAGGCAAGACTGTTCTTGGAAGGTTTGTGTAGGACTTTTTCTCTGGTATTTGTAAATGTGAGCACCATGTGAGGGGGCTATAATGTGCGTCAGCCATTGCCTGGAAGGCACGCCAAGGCTGGAGACTCGTTTCCTTATACTTCTGTCCTGCTTCCTGAAGTCTAAACCAATCATTCCTCACCCCAGTACATCGTAAAAGCACTTTCTCCCAGGTTTATAAGATCTTTCTAAAACAAACTGTAGTCCTTCTTTGACATTTGAGGTAAAAAGTCAGGCAAAATAACTTACCCAACCCAGAAACAGCAAGCAATTTGAACCCACCTCTGGTGTCAAGGTCCGCTGACTGATCCCATGATTATTCCACCAAAGGAGGAGGCCCTGATCTCCTAATTCATATTAATAAATGTTGAGAGTACACCATGAGTTACTAATTCATGAAATCTCCAAAACTTGGTTCTTTTGAGATTTGGTGTGACTTTATTTTTTTTAACCAAGAATTAAACAAATGCAGAAACACATATTTTTGCACTTAACCATTTATCAGGCATATTCTTTGGGCAAAGTCTTTGACTTCACACATTTCTGCTTCCAAATTAATCTCTCTTGCTCTCAATTTCTCATCTATTCATACAAAAAATATGAAAATAGAGAAATTCAATAATTAAATATTTTTCTCTTTGCAACTGGTATAGTTTGAAATAGGAAATGTGAGTTCCTAAAGACATTTTGTTCTGGGGCTTAAAAAGATTATTCTCTTACACCGCAATTCACTTCTTCTATGCTCAACATTTCAGCAAACCCACATTCTAAGTGGTACTGTTTAATATGAAAAACTCCTGGTATCACACAAAGTAAGAATGGATTCACCCATTCCCCTTTGGTTATAACGGCACTTGACCAGCATTTCTTTTTTTTTTTCCTTCCCCAGTAACCCACTTATAAAGAATAATAGGGTTCTAATGAGGATTAATAAGATTTAATAAGGTATAATTAGAGCCATTCATTTCCTTCATCATACACATTGTAAGAGTGCTGTGTTAGATCCAGAAATGCTCCTAATTATGTTGAAACTGTTGTATGAGTGTGTTAGGGAAGACCACTGTGTCACCCCTCCTGAAATATTTATGAAATGCTCAGGTGGGCCTGGTGTTAGCACAAGTATTGTATAAAGTTAATCGCAAAGGATAATTTCTACTCAGGAGGCACTCACCAGGAGTGTCAGAGGCAAAGTCATAAATTGGATGCTTGGCAAACCACGTGCAGTCTTGTCAACAGTGCAAACTCAAATCAAAAGCCTCATTTTCGTGTGCTGATCTGATTTCTTTTGTATTCACACTTCTCTCAACAACCCTATTAAAACCTGCTGCATGCAGGGACTTGGGGAAGAAGGGAAGGCTGTATAAAACTACAGACACAATTCTGGAGAAATAGAGGATGAATTCAGAGACAGAAAGAAGCACAGAATTTCAGACGGGGCGGAGGATATGTGACCAGAGAATGCACACTGGTGGCCTGAAGCCCTACAGATGCAGTCTCGTAGGTCCAGTGATGGCACAAAAGACTTTGAACAAGGCTAGGCTCTGGTGCCCCCATTTCTTGCGTCCAGGACCATCCCTTTCTCAGAGGCCATTGTGTAGCTCTTGTCAGTCCTTTCTCTGACCTTACATATGCCTGGCAATATTCTAAGGATTTTTCATCCATATTTCACTTAACCCTCACAGAACCCTTCTGAGCTTGGCAGCAGTATTTTCTCTAGCCCAGGAAGATAAAGTAGCCTGCTCTTCACACAGAGCTAGTACATGGCAAGCTGAAATGCCCCTCTGAGCCCAGGCAGCCTGCGTCTACCCACCCACTGCTGAGTAACCATCTGGTCAGTCTGAACATTCCAGTGTGCAGAACTCATAATCTGTCACAGCTGACCAAGAGGGTATGGAGAAGCTACTGGAGAAATAGTAACCGGGGCATTAAAGATGGAAAATAAAAAGCAACTTGGTGTGGCCTGTCCTCAGCTTAAAACCCATCAGGCCAAGCTCCTTCATGCGGTTTGCATAGCCCTTCAAGCGTTTTGTCTGCCAGTCCTTAGCTCTCCAGCCAATTGGAGGTCTGGTGGTTTCTGACACCTTAACTGCCCCCACTTACCTGTCTTCTACAGGTTTCTCTCTTCTTCTCCATACACGTGGTCACCCTCACCCAGCTTCTTTAGTTCAGTTCGGTTCAGTTCAGTTGCTCAGTCATGTCCGACTCCCTGCGACCCCATGAATTGCAGCACGCCAGGCCTCCCTGTCCATCACAAACTCCCAGAGTTTACTCAGACTCATGCCCATCAAGTCGGTGATGCCATCCAGCCATCTCATCCTCTGTCGTCCCCTTCTCCTTCTGCCCCCAATCCCTCCCAGCATCTGGGTCTTTTCCAATGAGTCAACTCTTTTCATCAGGTGGCCCAAGTATTGAAGTTTCAGTTTCAGCATCAATCCTTCCAATGAACACCCAGGACTGATCTCCTTTAGGATGGACTGGTTGGATCTCCATGCAGTCCAAGGGACTCTCAAGAGTCTTCTCCAACACCACAGTTCAAAAGCATCAATTTTTCGGCACTCAGCTTTCTTCACAGTCCAACTCTCACATCCATACATGACCACTGGAAAAACCATAGCCTTGACCAGACGGACCTTTGTTGGCAAAGTAATGTCTCTGCTTTTTAATATGCTATCTAGGTTGGTCATAACTTTCCTTCCAAGGAGCAAGCGTCTTTTAGTTTCATGGCTGCAATCTCCATCTGCAGTGATTTTGGAGCCCTCAAAAATAAAGTCTGCCACTCTTTGCACTGTTTCCCCATCTATTTGCCATGAAGTGATGGGACCAGATGCCATGATCTTAATTTTCTGAATGTT